TGTGCACAAGTAGCTTTTTATAGTCTGGAGAGGAGCCTAATGACCACCAGCTGAGCGCAATTACCTCCTATAATTGCGTAATTATTCTTGACACGGGTAGCTCTTCGATGGCGTGCATCCAGGAACAACTCACTACTGGCCTCCAGCTCACTCTCCCTTGTCTCCTCCCCACTGGTCCAAGGCTCAGGTGCCTCTCGGCGGCCAACCAGTCTCTCTGCGCCTGCTCAGAGTCGGAACCCTGTCCAGGGTCCTCCACATCCTCCAGGGCTGACTCATAGGGCCCCTCACTGTCGGAGTCTGGCAGTAGCTCCAATGGCTCCTGCTGGGCCACAACAGGTATCTATGGATATTCTCAGTTGCACAGGTTATGGTTGTCCCAAATGTGATTTTTCAAAAGGCAAGTGGACTTCCTTTATTTTTTTTTTTCTTGGAGAGGCTTCGCTTTTCATCCAAGAAGCTTCTTCAGTTTTGACTGAATGGTAGAGAATGGAAGGATTTATACTCCTTGTAGTCGTCTGGTTGTTAGCACTCTCTCAATGAGTCCCAGAATTGTTTTCTTTTTTCTTCAAGGAAAAAGCAAAGAAAGTCCAGTTTCCTTTTGAAAAAAAAATACCTTTAGGATGTCCTTCAAGTACTTTAAAATTGAGGTTCACATGTATATTTTGGGTTCCTTTTCTGCCCTTTAGATCCACTGGATACCAGGCAGAAGGAATGGAACAGACCAAAAGATGTTGCAAAGGAACTGATGGATATCATAGTTTGCCTAGTAAATGTGACCATTGTCCCCTCTGCTCCAGCTGCCCACCTGCATTGGAAGGTGAGTTAGAAATACCAAAGGGTGACTTGAGAAGTGATAATAGATCAGAATTTAAATATTCCTGATGACGAGGACCTCTGATTTAGAATGACTTTAATTAACATACCTGTTTCTGTAAATAAAATGTACTCCAACTATTTTTAGGTTGGTGGGTTCATTTATAAACAACAAAGTAATGGCAGGAACCAGGCATGGTCAGAAGGTTAGAAATGAGAAGCAGAGCAATAGTTCCTAAGAAGAGTGATGTAGCCCAAAGCAGGCAAAAACAATAAACAAATAATTTTAAAGCAAGATCTAAAAATCAGAATGCAAAAGAGAGGGGGAAGGAGGGAGAGAGACTGAGAGATGGTCTTGGATTCACAGGAATCGTTTCAAAAAGAATGAATTCCAGCTTGGCAGGATAGGAGTCTCCCCAAACAAATATATTATTCATCCACTTCAGAGACCAGTTAGATTCAAAACTGCAATAATAATTGTAATCCTAATTGGGCAAATCCTCATAGCTCTTGCTTGCAATAATTCACTTTATATTCTCCATTTTACTTTCTTTTTTTTAAAGTGTTCTTCATCACCACTTTTTTATTTCAAAGGGTTTTGAATCATTTTATTTATTGATTTTTTTTAACAAGGTTTTGCGTCAAACAATATTGGCCCCAAATCAAATTTGAAATTCAAAACTTTGGGCTAACATTCCAAATGTTACATAATTCAAAACTAGGGTGAAAATTCTGGATTAGTTTAGCTCCCATTTTGCTTTCATTTCTTGCTCAGCAAAACCGTCCTTTGCTTGTACAAACTCCCTTCTCTTCCCTTCCCCATCCATTCCCTTCCTTCCTTCCTTCCTTCTTTCCTTCCTTCCTTCCTTCTTTCCTTCCTTCTTTTTTTCCTTTTTTCCTCCCTCCCTTCTTTCCTTCCTCCCTCCCATTTACATGGTGACTCTAAGTGGTTTGCAATATTTAAAAATGCTCTTTCTAGCCAGAAGGAATCCACTAAAGCACATTTCCAATTACTATATTGCTTGAAGGTCACCCCAGCTTCCCAGCCCATAGAGGCTTACAAGGTATTCTATCATTCTCTGCTGCCCACAAAAATGCACTGGGCTGAATGGGATGTCGCAAGAGACCAACAGACGATTATTCCTGGACTTGAAAGAGGTTACAAGTATGAGTTCAAGGTGCGACCGTATTTGGGGAAGATCCACGGCACCGACAGCAACGTGAGACAACTGTACATCCCAGAGGAAGGTGCAAAAACCTATCACCATGTTTTGACTGGCATTGTTAATTTAATACCATGCAGGGAAACCTCTCTAGACTAAAAACTGTACTAAATTTTGGAAGGAAATCAGAGCGCCGACTTCAAAGCTGTGGGTTCATTTGCTTTCTTTTTCTCCTCCTTTTCTTTCCCCCTGCTTTTATTTGGCTTTGTTTTTCTTCAGGTGGCCTTGAGTGGGATGTTGAAGAGCTAGATATTTTTTGGGGGGAGGGTGTGGGAGCTTATCCTTCTTATGGGCAAAAATGATCTGAAACTTCTTCACCTTTTCTTCTGGATCTCTTGGAGAAGCCTTGGGTGGTTGAAGAGACCAGGAGTGTCATAATAGACATGAAATAATGGATGGACGAGTCCTGTATCGCAGTGGTGGGTTTCAAAAANCCAGTAAGGGTATGGCTAGCTGATGAGAGCTAAATAGCTTGAAATAGATCTATACTAGTCTCCCTTTATTTATTTATCAGCACAAATATTACACACACACACACACACACACACACACAAAAGATATGTCCAGTGAAGTTTGATAGCTGGCATATTCATGGTGGACCAAATAATATTGCCATTCAATGCATTATCTGTTTTCTTAAAGCATTCCTAGGAATGGGGGAGAATCACAAAATGTGACGTATTCCTAGGAAGGAGAGAAAACCAGTTCTGGCTTATTTTGTTGTCATATAAATAAGGTCATTGTGGCCAGCTGAGAATTCTGGACTTTTCCTTGCAGGTATGAAGTGGACCAAGAAAATGTCCTTCAAATTCACCATCTTACAATGTGTGATGCTGGGAAATATATCTGTGCTGCTCACAGCCACGGAGGGACCATCTTTGCCAAGGCAACTTTAACTGTGGAAGGTGAGCAACTTTCTCTACAAGACCAGCAAGGGGGAGAAAAAGAAGAAGGTCTTTGTTGACTGCTTGGGCAGGGGGTTGGATTAGATGACCTACAAGGTCCCTCCTAACTCTGTTAATCTGATCTAATGACTAAATGCCTGAGTTATCCTTCACAAGCACTTACCAAAATCCACTATTTTGTTCTTAGAATAACAACCCCTTATCCCACAAGAAGATTATTTTTCAGCTACAATAAAAAAGCTAACATTGTTTTCTCCCCCAGATGAACCACTAAATGATGACTTAACTCCCCAATTAATTCCTCTAGAGCAGGGATATACAGATTATTTAAGGGTGATCTGTTAAAAGCTGTATAATGAGCACGGGGGAAGAAGAGGACAAAGAGCTTTTACAAGAGTTGGGTAGGGGTAGGTGGGGGGTGAGGTTGTTAAAAGTAGGCAATGGACCATATGGAATTAGATTAAATGCTTCGCGTTGTCCTAGGGTGACTACTGTCCACTAAATTAAGGCCAGGTCACATCCAAATACAAGGAAACTATTGGTATCATTCTCTATTAGGTATCTGTTCTGACCCCCTCCTCCATCCAGTAACGAATGCTGAGACAAGCTTAACTGGAATGTACTTTAATTAGCAAAACACCAAAACCTCGGTGGCTGAAAGCCAAGCATAGCAAACAGATAAGGACCTTGGCAGCAACTCAGACAAGCCTTGGTAGCAATAAACACAGATAAGGCTTGGCAGCAATCCAGCCTGCCAA